CTTTGAGAAATATAGAATTTCACGTTGGAATGAAATTTTTCTGGAATTTCTCTTTGAATCGAGTTAAATAATTATTTTTCTGACACGCACAGGGGATAGAAGAGGAGGATATCGTAATTTATGAAACCGTGCTAATGTTTCACTGAATGGAGAAGAACCGGGGGGAAAAAAAAATACGATAATAACTGTGATTAAATGTTACGACGAAGGAAAGTACTGTACGCTATATTCTCTGTCAAAGTTTTTTGTTTCTCATTTAACGAATCTTATTCAACATATTAAAATTGAAAATTGGCAAATTTTCCGTCACTTAAAACGAATTAATTTCTTTAAACATAATTTTCTTTCTTGCGATAAAACGTGCTTCTTAATTAGTACGACATCAAAAGAAATTAAACGTTGGAGTTCCACAATATACGTTTTACACGAAAGGATTTTGTATCCCAGGCAACGTGAATTTCGATTCTCGTGAAAAGCCATGAGATGATCGAATGAAACTTTTCTAACATAAAATTCCGCTTTTCTCGTTACAATATTACAATATTGAAATATTGAAAGCGATGGTCGAAGAAAATAAGCTGTAACGAAGTGAAAATACGGTCTTCATGAAAATTCACGAGCCACAGAGTATACACAGAATGACAATTTCTCCATAGACTTTTACTTTCAATGCTCGTCTTCAATTTTCCGCTTCAACAATTACTTCTCTTCAATACTCTGAAACTCTTTATTTCATTAATAATTTATTCTACGTGAGGTAATGATGATTAGTTCAATCGAGCAAAATGTGCAATCTCCGGATCAAATTGATTACGTGTCAATTGGCATAAACGAATCGGTGATGTGGAAAAAATGCAAATTTATTTGTACATTCACGGAGGATGCCACCAGAAACGCGACAAATTCGTTTGTTACCTGCAATGTAATGGATTAACTTCTCGTCAATTTCGAATTCATATATCATCGATTGAACGATATGTCCAATAATTTACGATCACACGGTATTGCGGTTTAACGATTTCGAGGAGAACGCGATTTGCACGCTTTCTGAACTGTGCTGGCACGAAGTCTGCCTCATGTGAGAAAGTAACAAATGAATTCTTGAAAATACAATATAAAACGATTGACGTCTTCGAGCGTTCAATTTTCGACAAACTTTTGAAACGCAAAATTGCTTGCAAAATAATAGTTATAACACCAAAAAATACATAAAATATCGAAAGAACAGTGCTTTTTACAACACTTTGTAGATAAAACAATTTCCTATTCGTGGTTCCTTTCAATCTTTAATGAAAAAAATCTGTTCCACTTTATTCCAAAGAGTACTGACTAATATTCCAAAAAGAATTGTTTCATTTACTAAATATTACAAATAATTGAAATATTATTACTTTGGAATACTTTCTATATTTCATCATCCATCATTCTCTGTATTTTCTCACGTTTACACGAATATATCAGATTCAATTCATTGAAAAACGACTCGATTAAAGATATACTCGATGACGTGTTGCGATGCACGATAAAGGAGGACCAACGAACGAATCATGAAATTTGTCTACAGAGGAGACTGAAATCACGACACGTGGGTGGATACATGATAAAAGAGACAAAGGTGAGACGTTCGTAAAGGATCACTGCCAAAACGTGGTTCTACAACGTGATCTATTAAATGTCCGATTGCGTTACTTTCTTGTCATCGTGGAACGACAAGATACAGTGGATGTAGAAAGTACCTGACGAGAAATTGTCATAATATATTTTCAACTCCTATAACTTTGGTGATGAAAAAAAGAAAAAATCGTACAGTAAATGTCTTCGAGGCCAAGACATTTTCAAGACCATGGTAGATTTAATTACGAGAAAGATATTTCTACGTTCGTAGAGACATCTGCAATTTGCAGAAATTTTTCCTTACTTTGTTAATTGAAAATGATGTGAAAAAATTTGTTAGGAGAAAAAACTTGGTAAAAAAGATTTATGAACGCAGAGATTTCGTGCTTTTTGAAATGAGCCCAGGCGGATTGTTCTTTTTATTCTTTACGCCTACATTTCTGTGCGTGTAACAGTACAGTAATATGACAAAATAAAAATTAATGAAACGTGGGCGTGTAGAATTTTTCAGATTTAAATGTTGAAGAATAGAATTTTAGATTGTAAAATACGAGGAGCGTGATTCTCCTTTTAATTCGTTAAGAATTCTTTAAGAATTCGTTAAGAATTCGTTAAGAATTCTTCGATCAAAACGAAGACGATCTTTCAAACGAACCGCTTGAAAATTGAATGAAATAAATTTTCACTGCTCTCAAACACCTAATCAATCTCGGAAGCAATCTGTTTAGCTTTCATTTATCAAGAGCCGGTTTCTGTATCTTTATTGGATTTCTATTCCATTAATTGATTATTCCGTTTAATCATTAAAAGATTAAACGTTTCGAGTATTTTTTTTTTTTAATTTTTCAAGTGTCTAAAGGAAACAGATGAAAGTGAGAAGAGAAAAAAAAGATTTTTAATAGAAAAAACGCTTGAATGAAAACGAAATTACCTAGCTCGTTCTTTCTTAGGAAAAAAAAAAAGAGAGAGAATCGGAAACTGGATACAAACAAAAAAATGCATCTTATAAAATTATCAAGAGTGAACTTCCAATGAAATTCCATTGTTAAAAATCAATTTTCTTTAAAGAAATTCTTCCCTGTCTTCTTTGTTTTTAATTAATTAAGGCTTTCAACCAAAAAAAAGAAAATTCAAAAATAACCTGGGATTAATTTCACTCTTCCAATCGCCGAGTAGAAAATGTTTCGGACGAGGCATCGAACAGCCTTCGCGACGAGAGAGAAAAAAAAGAAAAAGCTTTCGAGCCAAAACAGCTGGTCTGGTCGAAATTCTTGTTACACCTCGAAACTCTGAAAGTCTGACCGGTGCAAGGAGAACGATTTTATAAAAAGAATTTACCTCCGCTAACTAAACTAAATTCTGTCAATGTACACGGCTGATAAATTCGCGCTCGGATCCTCGCCGTTTTTCACTGTTTTCAACGTTAATGAATCGCGAAACGTCGTAATCCGTTTATTTATCATGGAAGAGACCGTCCCCTTTTTATTTTTAAAACTTTCTCTCTTCTTCCTGCCGGCGGTGTGACAAAACGTTACAAAATGGCAACCCGTCGATCGAAGCTCCTCTCTAATCTCGCCGAGAGCGAGAGAGATTTACGCGAACAAAAAAAAAAAGAAAGAAAACAGAAAGTAGTACAGAAAAAAGTAGAGAAAGAAAAGAAAAAGGGGAAAGAAACACTTTTACATGATCTGTCTTTCGCAACTTTTACCAAGCCTACTTTTACCAACGCGATTTTATACACGCTCGTTCAACAATTTAGACCGCGTTGAAAGGAACAGTAACCTTTTCAGATAAATAAATATTCAAACGCGCGACATCACATTTTTACAACACTGAAATTTTGATTAATTATATTTAGAAATGAAAATTATGACTGCAACGCTCTTGTCTCTCAGACAAATAGAAGATGCTCCAAAAAAAATAGAGGATGCTCCAAACATTTGAGTGGAAGAATACATTTGTCTATACGTTCAATATAGTATCTTCGTCATATTAAATTTCACTATTGCTTATTTCTCTTAAGGTACACCATTGTAATATTACGTTTGCGCAACGCAGCGAATATTTCATATTTATACGTACTTAAAAATAATACTTATCCGAAAGATAGTGGTTTCACACAAGTTTACAAACGTTTGCAAAACACTGGAATAAAAAGAGCTAATAAAGTGGACTAATAAAATAAGAAAATATTATTTAACAACAGTTTCGTAGAAATCAATGGAGCAGCTCGTAAGATGTATTATATGCATAAAATTGACGATTCCACCCAACAGAAATATATTAAAAAAAAAAAAAAAAAA